AAAATTTCTTAAAAATAACTCCGAAAACAGCAACTAAAGTTTTGAAGACAAATAAGTATTATTTAAAGTGTCATTTCACAAAATTTTTTAACTTGCATCTTTAGAATTTTTTCTTTTTGAAAACAAATAATTATAATAAAAACTTTTTAGATAATTCCACTCGTAGAATAAAAAAAAAAAAAAAAGAAAAAAAATAAAAATGGAATTTATAAAGAAGTATTTTCTTAGTACTAATTTATTTTTTTGAATAAAACCAAAAAATAGTTAGATGTCTGCTGATTTCGGATTAATAAAAATCTAAAATTTATGTTGAAATGATTATGAAGTTGAAATTAAAAGACATTTTAAAATATTATACTGAATTTGAGAGACACCTAACAATTTTAAAAATTTTTATAACAAATAAATTGTAATTGTTATTTTCTGATTGGACAAACGGATTAAATTTATTTTGGTCCTGGTATATTTCAACCACTAGTATTTATTAATAAAATCATAATTCAAATTTAGTAAATAGAATATATTGTTGAACACAAAAATTATTTTCATTGATTAAATTATACTTACGAAATTTTATCTAATAGTAAATTAACATTTAAAAATTACATGTGAGAGTTACAAAAATATAGATAATACCTGAAAGTGTTACATCGACACACGTGGTTACTTTTATTAATTATTTTTATCACTATTTATTCGTAAATGATTTTTTAATTCTTATCCAGATGAAAATTTGATTTGTTTAATGAATTTACTTTATGTTTACTTAAAATTTGTTACTTGTTACTCTGTATTTTTATTTAAATTAAAATGTTATGCACTTATTTGAACGTTGTAATATTATTTAGCATTCCTTTTTTTTATATATCGTCTGAAATTATTTAAGTGAGCATTACAAAAATTTATTTAGACATTGTTACCCTAAAATTTTTCTGTTCGAGATAAATTCTTCTTGTTAAAGTTATTCGGGTACTAATCTATTTAATGTACCTGGACCCCAAACTAATTTCGGGAATTTTCCCGGCCTCTTACATAGAACCGAATGAAATAATTAATAATCATACTCGAATAAACTTTTACTACCATTAATAATAAAATAAAATCATTATTAATTTTTATAATTAATAAAATATGTAAAGAAAAAATCTTCTTTAAAAAAATTGTAAGTGCAAATTTAAAAAAACATTTTTTTTATCATCATTAATTTGTTGCAGAAATTTAAAAAACTATCAGAGGTCTGCTGATTTCAATATCAATAAATAATTGTATATTGAAATAATTTCCATGTATATAAAATGCAATTTTCCTTCATCACTATCGATAGATACCTAAACTTTCATTAACCTAATTTCATTGTTAATTTTCTAAATCACATCTCGTAAATTCAGATTACAGAGTGAATGTCTTTTAATGTGATTATTATTGGTACGATGGTCGAGCACCTATCATTAGGAAACTTGCGTAACAAAGATGCGAATTGTCTGAATATGCAATTTTAATAGATTTCTTGGGACATAAGAATGTCAAATTATAAATCTCAGCATGTCATTCCATTCTATTTATCTTTATTATTTTATCCTTTTTTTTATTAATTTACATTTTACATGTAACAAACTTATTATTCATTATCATTGTACTTCTGAATGTATAATTCTTTATGGAAAAGTCGGCATGGGTTTTCCGATTACCTGTCAGTCAGTCTGTATTGTATGTTAATTCGTTATTTAATTTTTTTTATTTTTTTTTTACTATACTTTTTTATTATAAATAAATATCACGATCCGATAGTTTGAATTTTCAGAATTGCAAATCAGCTAAATAAAACTTGATTTTTTTAACTTATAGTTAACATTTAAAAAAATGAATAAAATAAAATCACCAAATCGCCCGACGAATAAGGGGACGAGACAAAATAAAATAAAGTAAAAATTCGACACCCAGTATAAACAGTGATAGAAACAGGATATAAATTAATGATAACTAAAAGATAATATAATAGTTGTGTTTAAATATAACACTGCCAATTAAACTTGTTTCTCAGATGCATACATCTGGGTTTCCGTGTATGTAAATGTTGTTTGGATGACATTGATAATTTTAAGTCTTTCATCAATGTCATAACAGCTTTTTTTCTAAAATAAAATTTTTGTCTTCCTATTTTATTGATTGTTTTATAATAATTAACATCCTCATTAAATATATAAATGTCGAATAAATTCAATGATAAAACTCTAGGAATCATCAATTTTTTTTATCATAGCGACGCATTAATTATTAATTAATCAAAAATAATCATTTGCGATATTAATAAAAAAAAGACATTGTTATTTGATCTTCAAGGTCTGAAAAATTCTGAGAAAAGAAAAAAATCAATTAGATGTGTGATACGTAAAAAAAAAAAAAAAAACAAATAAATCAGATTTAAAAGAATGACAGACGAAAAAGAAAATGTTTAGTTTTAAAATAAGATTTTTAGGTAAAAGAAATAAACGAACTTTCAGAAAACCGGTTGATCGAGTTAATTTTTTTGTTATTAAAAAACTATTGTTTTTTTTTAATGCTAAAGGAAGATTTCGGAAGAAAACAGTGAATATATATTGTGTCTGGTTTATTGTCGAGCGATTTTAAATAAAAAAAAAATTAACAGACGGTCAAAATACACTGGATAACATGGTAAAAAGCATAAAATAATTACTAACATACATATGGATGTATTTTGTTTATATTATTGCTCATTAAATCTAGACAGTAGCGGTACAGTTGACTCACGCGAGATGGATGGACATCAACGAGAAATGAGGATAAATCATCAGGTCAACCAACCCGCGCTTTCTACGTGAAAGTCAAAAATTTAACTCGCTGATTAATGCAATTAATGTTATAAATAACTTCAATAACAGTAAACAATTAATTATAAGGGATTAACAACCTTAGCTAGTGAAAATATTTAAACTTAAACATATTATTAGATAATTAATAAGTTGATAATTAATAAAATAAACAAAAGCACGTAGTTTTTGATAATTTTGACAGCTTTGGTCAAGGGTCATGATATTCAAAAATATTTAAACTTTTAATCTAATAGAAAATATCTCTTTGCAAAAATAACAAAAATATTGATTATTTTATAAAAATAGAATAAAAAATACAGTAATCACTCACATGTTGAAAGAAAAATCCAAGTTATCACAAAAATTAAAACTTTTATATTAATAATTTAAATTTATTATTAATAGCAGTAGTATTTTAGTATATAACTAAAAAGTTATTATTAATTTAAGAGTAATGCACAATTTTTACGATATCGAAATAACTTCCGAGCCGCGTGAAGTCTTGATGTAGACTGAAAATCAAAATGAACTGAACGAGCGCGTCCAAGTTAAGTCAAGTCTCTTTACTCTACCAGGAAGCGGGCAAAACGCAACACAATCGTCAGCTGTACTGTATCTGTTAGTATTCTTATTCTCTATACTAGTCTCTTCTTCACCAGTATCATTGTATTCACATACTCATACTCATACACATATATTTATATGTATTAAAAAAATGTAATCTCCTCTGTTACTTATAGCTACATTTTATATTTTACATTATACATATGCCCAATACGAAGATAACATGACGCTGGTTAATAAATAAACATAAAATGAAGTTTAAATCGACACTTTAAAATCATCAATACTGATTGATCTATTATTTCTTTTTGACGCCTCTATTAAAACTGTCAATTTAGTTTCATTGAACAATGTGCGCACTTCAAGATCACGTTATGTTATATATATACTTGAAATAAATAGCGCAAGCGCTTCTCGTTCTCAGTCAATACAACACAAGTTCACGTTTAATAATCGTTTTATACCTGATGGGAAATAAATAATAGACTAATTAGATTAAGAAATAGTCTTAATAATCAATGAGATCATTATATTACTCAGCTTATTAAAGTATATTATAAATTATAATGTAATGATTTAAAGTTTTACTTATTGAGTAATAGTACTTGTAATAAAATCTTTTATTTAAAAATTTTAATTCTGAGTAATGCAGTACTTAGTTGCAAAAAAAATCAAGAACGAGCAGTAAGAAAATTTTTAAAATTATAATTTACAAATAACACTACTCAAGTACGTCCAATGTCTCATCGTCGGGTTATCACTTGTGACTTCCTGAAGGTCCGTTAGTTTAATAAATCCTTCACCTTTTGGACTTTAAACTGATTTAAAATGATATTTCATTTCGGGAATTTTTCTAATAGAAATAAAATTTATTCTGCTGAAAATAAATATTTTTATTTATCAACTATTGTTATTACTAATAAACTATATAGTTAGTTATGGCTAAATCTATAACCTTGACAGGTATATGAAAATGATAACAAACAGTTATCTGGTAAATCCCTCTTATATATATGAGTAATGCAATCGAGGTCAGTGTGACAATTTTACTCTGGATATTCATTAGTAGGTCGATAGTATTTATTTATTGTTTCTTCTCTTTCTGTAATCTTGAGTACTTGATAACTTAATTTATTCCCATTACTAAATATTGATTGATTTATTTGTCAATTATTTACTAATAATTACTCATGTACATTATAAGTGTGTTGTTTTTTTTAAACTATCAAGCGATTTCCTACCTTACCGACAACACAAGCTAGAAAAAAGACGATGGCGCTGATAGCAGTCGGGATACAAAACAACACATAAAACCGCGCCATTGTAATCATTTTATTATCCTGACCTTTTTTATCACATGAGACGAAGACACTGTGACTTGTGATATCGACATAATGAACGTTTGTCTCATATTAATTTTTATCGAAAAAATGATTTATCATTCATTATAATAAAAAACACAAACATTTTTATTTAGTAGGACAGTTTTAATTAGTTCAAGTGTAAAGTTATTTTACAACAAGATATTTTTAAGTGTTATGATAATATTATAACCTATATTTTATAAATTTCAGATAAATAATAAATAAAATATTAACAATAATAATGATGAAACACGATTTTCCAGTTCTGAAAAATGACAGATTTTTAAAAGCTGCCCGAGGAGAAGAAGTTGACAAGATACCAGTATGGATAATGAGACAGGCTGGAAGATATTTACCTGAATTTCGGGAATTTCGAACCAAGCATGATTTTTTTTCTATTTGCCAGACACCAGAGTATGCATGCGAAGTTACTTTGCAGCCGATTAAAAGATTTGATCTTGATGCTAGCATAATTTTTTCTGATATTCTTGTCATACCACAGGCTATGGGTCTGACAGTTGAAATGAGACCCGGAGTAGTAAGTCTGAACATTGTTTTATCTATGACATTCAAAGTAGCAGTCACTTAACAATTTTTTAATTTTATTTAACAAAAAAACTTGTCCCAAAAAATCATTTTTGAAAAATTGCATTTTTTATTTTTTAAAATTTTCACATGTCAATTTTTTTTTATAATTTTTTTTTGCCATAATTTATTTGTTATACAATTTTAAGAATTATTAAATGTATGTTAAATTAATTTTCATGTTTTATCTTTACTTTCATTTTATTTATGAGAAAAAAATTCAAGTTATTTAATTTACAGGGCCCAGTACTGCCAGAACCTATTGCCACTCCAGGTGACATGTCAAGGTTGAAGAAACCGGACGTGGAAAAAGATCTCGGGTACGTTGGAAAAGCAATCACGCTAACGAGACACAAATTGGAGGGTAAAGTCCCTCTGATTGGATTCACAGGTGCTCCAGTAAGTAATTTTGTTCTCTTAATTAAAGAAATAGACAATTAGTACGTCTATTTATAGAATTCACGCGGATATCCCAACGTGACTGAAAGGATTTTAGTCACGTTATTGATAAAAAATACATCAATATTTGATTATATCACCAAACGTGAATAATCTTTTTAATTTTAGTTTATGTTTCCTTAGGCGATAAATGATGTTTTTTTTTTTACAAATTGTAATTATCAATAATAATCGGTAATTAAAATAATTAATCGTTTGTTGTCATAGTGGACATTGATGGGTTACATGATCCAGGGAGGTGGAAGCTCTACAATGGCACAAGCTAGATCTTGGCTTTATAAATATCCTCAAGAATCTTTAGAGCTTTTACAATTGATCACTGATATAATTATTGATTATTTAGTAATGCAAGCTAAATCTGGTGCTCAGGTAATTATTTTTAATTGTTTGCTACCACTTGTGTACTTATCAGAGTAATTTAGACTCTAAAAATAATTTTTTTACATAAACAGGCACTACAAGTATTTGAAAGTCATGCAGATTATTTAAATGATGAACTTTTTGATATTTATTCATTGCCTTTTCTCAAAAAAATCAGTGAACAAGTAAAACTCAAGTTGGATGAATTAGGAATTCCTAGAGTTCCAATGGTAATTATTTTTTTAAGCAGTATAGAAATTTTACAATTACTATTATTCCAAATAAATAACAACTCTGAATAAATTTCATAGTTGAAGGCCAATTCTTAAAAAATTTTAAAGGATTTAAAAAATTTTTAACTAATAAATATAATTTCTTATTCAAACATACCTTAAGAATAATTTTTTATACAGATAATAACAAAAACAAATACTGGTTAATAATTAAAAATGATTTTATTAGATTGCATTTCCAAAAGGCGCTACTTTAAATTCTTTGGAACGTCTTGCTAAAACAGAAGCTTACGATGTGATAGGAATTGATTGGACAGTAGAGCCATCAGATGCAAGGACACGTTTAGCAAAGGCAACTGTTCAAGGAAACATGGATCCATGCGCAATGTACGCAAGTGAAGAGCAAGTTTACGAGCGTGCAAGAAAAATAGCATCACAGTTTAGTAAAAAAGGGTATATTGCTAATTTGGGTCATGGAATCCTTCCAGATACGCCGATTGCATCGGTGGAAGCTTTTATACGTGGTGTACATTCCTTGTAACTTTATTTGTTATTTCAATATTAATATTGCACGACTCTTAATGCGAAGCATTAAAGAGTGCTCTAAGATCGAAAAATTATGTTTACCTCTTTTACGCTACTGTTTTTATTGTTATTAATACACTCGTATTAGTTGACGGAAATTGACTAAGCTGCACATTACCGGATAGAGAATTTAATAAGAAATAATTCTGTTACCTTTGAAGACCGATTTGAAGGGTTAAAAAATGAAAAAATACATCACAATGTAAAAAAAAAAAAATTTCTAGTCAAGGAATAGAAAAAATGTTCGTATCCCATAAATTAAATACGAAAACTCGAAAAAAAGCCATTATTTGGATTACTTTTTTTTAAGATTATTTATGAAAATTAAGATAAAAAAAATAAGATAAAAAAATTGACATTTAGAAATTTAAAAAAATAAAAAATGCAATTTTTTAAAAATAATTTTTTGGAAAAAATTTTTTTGTAAAATAAAATTAAAAAACTGTCAAGTGATAGCTAACTTTAATGTCATAGATTATTTTGGTGCCAAAATCAAACGGTCAAAAAAAAAAATTTGTTTTTATATTTTTTACGATCAAATGAGCATTATGAGTCATGCACTTTTGGATTTTTCAGATTTTTTAATATTAATATTGGTTGGTTTGTTACAAATTTGATAATAAATAAATAAAAAAGACCTTCTTTTAACGTTGCATTGCCCGAACTTGCTCCGTTACGTCTTCTAATTTAGCAGAACTCCTATCGACTGATGACAGCTGACATTCCAGGTGGGAAGTGATCAATGCTAGTTTCTCTAGATTATTTTCTGCGTTTTCTAGGCTATGCTCTTGCTGTGCAAAATTTTTCGCTGATTGCATCAAGATCTGAAAAAACAATTATTAAGTTAGAAAAATTTGATTTAACTCATTAAGTATATTTAAAATTGATTATTTACTTCACTGCTTTTGGAGCCGCGTTGAATCTGACGTGCAAGAGAAGCAATATTATTGACATTAACTTGAACTTTATCAGCCAATCGCATTTTCGACTCAACAAAAAGACTACGCGCACTTGTGCTCGATGCAGATGCCATAATGTAGTTTTATATAAATCACTTATTATGTTACGGAAACAATAGTTACTTTTATTACATCAATTTGTATTTATTAAGCTGTCAGCTGAGACCGATAGCAACTTAGCAACTACAGCCTTGATTGACCCCCACCTAAAATTCAAAGAAATCAACAGCAACGCCTCTACAGTTCAGTTAGTAACTTAACCATAAGTTGGAAAATTGAATAAATTGAAATGTTTTATTTTTTTTATGAGCACACACGTGAACCACGTGAAAATTGTTTGTAATTTTAATAAATAATTAACACTTTAAAAATGGGTAAGAAAAATAAAAGTAAGCAAAAAATAAGCGGTAGTGAAAAAACTGCGATGAAAACGGAGAAAAAAATGAATTTAAAAATGAAAAAGGAGCTAGCGGCTATTGGAGAGGTTAGTAATTTTATTTATATAAATATTTATTTATTTATTTATTTATTTATTTTTAATGTCATTGTTTACGATTTTAATAGGATGACATTGAAAAAGTAGTCGCGCAAATTGAGAGAGAAGAAGCAGCGAGACAAAAAGTCGTGGAAGCGGTTGTCGATCAACCGTCGAGACGAGTTAATTTCACGTTGACGGCTCACCCTTTTAAAGATGAGCTGGTGATGCTGGGAGGAGAGTTTCACGATGGACGTTCAACAACTGTTTATGGAGACATGTTTTTTTACAGCTTGAATAAAAAAACCTGGACTGTAGTGAAGGCGCCTGGAGCTCCACCTCCAAGATGTGGACACCAAGCCGTGGCTATTCCTAGTAACAAAGGTGAGCTCTGGGTATTTGGTGGAGAATTTTCAAGTCCTTCAGAGTCCCAGTTTTACCACTACAAAAATGATAAGTAGAATTTCTTGTGCGTTATTTATACTTATTTTTTACTAAACCTGTTTTCAGAATATCATTGCATCCTGGAACTAATAGTAGTTATAATTTTGTTATTATAAAAAATTCAGTAATTTGTCACTTGAAATAGATCGATCATTTAAAATTGTAGATCAAACAAAGCAACTGGTATTTAAAAAAGCGATAAGTAACAATGAACTAAAAGAGATAAGTGGAGTGTGTATCAACGTGTGAGCAAAGTTCGTTAGCAAACATTTAATGACTCACACGTGATAGTAGTAGCATATATTTTAATGACAATGAATCTTCTCTGTGTCAAAATGTTGATATTAATTGTATTGTATTGTATCGAAAAAATGAATTAATATAACAATAAGTAAGTTCACAATAAGCAGTGACTCATAATGATAAATTTACAAGCTTATAGTATTTTTTTTATAAGCATTTATGTGGTTACTACTTGAATAATAATAACTAACAAACGTTTTAATTATAAATTTAGTAAACAATGATTATAGTTGCATAAGTTTGACGATATGTCGCAAATACTCGATGTTGACATAAAATCTAAATAGATAACAATATTAATTTGTTGATAAGCATGAAAAACAAAATATTGTTGAATAATCAACATTTGTTTCCGTATTTTCGTCATTTCTTCTTTTGCATCATTTTCTTGTATGATTGTCAAAATGATTTAGTTGAAATTTTTTACTGCAGTTTAAAATATAATATAAATGAAGATTTATCCTAATTCGTTGACCTTTAATTGCTTACTTCCATAAAATTAGCCATTAAAATTTACTGCACGTGCGTTGTCAAGAAGAAAAATAGTTTTTAAAATATACGTTATGTCTTTTTTTTAATTATATCGGAAGAAATGTTTCATTTGTTCAATTTAGACCTTAAATACTTTATAATCATTAAATATGTGATTTTAAAACTGAAATAAACCTAAAAAGTCATAATAATTATTATTTTAGTCCAATAGTTCAAGGTTAGTTCGAACTTTTCGGCTATGGGCGCAATAATCGCAAGATATTGGATTCAAAAGAGGGATTCCCGAAATAGATGAGGCGGGAAATTTTTTAAATTCAAATTTCAAATGTGACAATGTCCGAAATTTTTTTTTACTGATTCAAATTCAAACCAGATCAAGATTTCACTTTCTTTACAACCTGAATTTATAGTGAAAGGATAACGGACCTCTTTAATGAATTCTCGGTAAATACTTTTCAAGGTATTAAGTAATAACGTGCGTGTAACAGAGAAATTAAAATGGCATTAATTACCAATTAAGTGGCAATAAATTTATTAAATAGCCAATGACTTTAAATGAGAAACGAAATCTTGTCATAATAAATGTAAAATAAATAAATAAAAAAATACCTCTAGTTACTCCGATTAGTTTCAATAATAAACATATTTACACTGGCTATAATTTATGTAAATAAGAAGAAATAAAAGTATTTCGAGAAATGTTTGTGGTTAGAAGACTCAAGACTGACTGACAGATCAGATTCTTGACGTTGTGTAGCATCTAAGGCCCATAACATGTTCCCTTTCTCTTCTACCAGTATCATACTAAATGTGCTGTGTGATGTTATGTGTGCTATATGCACTTTACTCTCCAGAATTTCTCATTTATCCAGCTCGTAGCTTGTGTCCCCCTACTTTAACGTGACCCTCGAGAATCTTGTTCAGTGGGATTCCCCTCCGCCATTTTTTATTAATGATTAAGCGACGAATTAATTTATTTATTAAATACACGCATTACTCTTTAGTTTGCATTTATACTCAACTTCCTTTATTTTTGTGTTTTAATTTAAATGACGGGTTACTGTGATTTATAGTTGTGTTTGGAAATTTTATTTATATTGTTCAAGAACCTTCACCTTTTCTTTAAATGACTCAATCTCCAGAAATACGACAGAAGATAAAATTCCGCGAAACAATAAGGAACAATTTTAAAATGTCTAAAGTTTTTAAAGAAAAACAATTTTATTTATTTCTTCATAATGACTAAAGAAGAATTAAATATTGAGAGTTATAAATAATTAAAAAAACTCATACCTTAAATAAATTTCTACAGTTGCCTCATTTTTTTGTATAATCAGCAATTTTTAAGGTAAAAATGTTAAAATTAAAATATTAAGACGGCTTTAACATGAAAAAAATCGCAAAAACTTAGCTTCAAGTAACACACTTAATAAAAAACTTAAACACCTGTCAAATGTGAGTTCTTTATACGTGGATTTAAATCCAAAAAATCTTGAGATAAGTGACAATCCTTATTTGCTATTTCATCGATAACAGTAATTACCCACCGCGGATTATTAAATCCGCGATTATTCGTCCCAATAAGCGTGAAGGTTGTAGATAAAAAAAAAAACGACACTCATGTAAGAGATAATTTAGTATATAATTTAATAAAGTAATAATTAAATTTGAATACAATTTTTTAATGTCTCATTGTACATACAGACTGACTGGTTTTTAGTTTGTCGCATTAATAAAAGCCGATTATTAATTTAAATAAAGTATCAAATAATATAAAATAAAATTATATATAATTTATAATTATAAAAAATCGTTCGTGCTTTTACAAAGTACATATAAAATATAAAATATTTATATAAATGAATATAATTTACAATATATTTACAGGAATTAATTCTTTGGCTTTACTTAGTGTTAAATAATTATTATAATTTATCATTTAATTTAATAAAAAAAACTATTGATATAATAATAATTATCCACTGAGTTTCAAAATTCTCATCAATGATTTTAAATGACTAACATCAATGACCAAGAATGCACCGATAAAAAAATAACTTAATTCAAGAGCTAAAATCTTTAACCAAGAAGATTATTTCAAATAAAAATTCTTGAACTAAGAAATTTTTTTATACTTAAATAAATTTCACTGGATTTAAAGCAAACTCAACTCTTCAAAATGATACTCTTGGTTCAAGAATTTAGCACTTGAATCAAGCCAATTCTTTCTTAGCGTAGCAAACCGAAGATTATGAGTTTGCAAAAGTTTATCTTAACCCGTAGTGGTCATTGCTATGGGTCTAGATGACCCCAGGCAATTTTTGAGTTGCTCTTGCTTCGAAAATATCATTCAAAATTTCAGTTGCACAAATCAATATACTTTTTAAAAAGCTCGACATGACACCACTTTTTTTTTCAAAGTATGCGATTTCCGGAGTAGAAGCCCGGAGGTCATTTTCATTTATCTTAAAAAATAAAGTTTTCAGTAAAAAAAATCAAATTTTTCGAAATTTGACTTTCTCACATTTTTTTTTTATAATTAAACAATTAAAAAAAAGTTAAAAAACGATTGAGTTATTCAACAGAAGTGTTAAGAATTACTCTCATGTACGGCTCGATTGAAAATATTGAAAAGAACGCAAGTAGCAACAATTTTTCCGTGCATGGGGTCAACTAGACCCAGTATGACCACTACGTTATTTTTAAAAAGTCTGACCACTACGGGTTAAAAGTTAATTATAATTACAATTACAATAAATTTAATTACATAGCCTAATTATGAGAACATTCTTCTTTCCTTTGAATAGACATGGTAGCAGCAGCGACGGCCATCCATTCATTGGTATCAGATTGGTACCAGGTCAGACCTAACGAGTAGCGAGCATTCAAGTTGGCATGTTGGCAGTGACTGAACCACCAGCCACCATGATAATTAGCTGCGCAATCCGCGGTGCTTATGTCCATATCCCGGTCTTTTGCACTGAACGCCATGCCATTTTGGTACGTGAAAGCGTCTGTAGCATTGCCAGAGTATCCGCCAACATGTAACTGGTACCCAGTTTCTTCAGACTGTACGTTGAAGTACTCATAGTTCGCGTACCATTTGCTGCCGTAGATGTCAGTCAGGTCGATCTTCAACCTGGTGCAGTTGTCGCGGGTCAAACGGTGCAGAGCTTCATTGCCGACCCAGAACTCGCTGACAGGCGAGCCGAATCCAGAAGCGTATTCAGACCAAGATCGGTCAAAGTCAACGACTCCATCGACGCGCCTTGCCACGACGATCCATCCTTCATGGCAGGAAACTAGTAACGGAGCTCCTTGTCCAACTCCCAGGAGAGTTAGTCCGTCACGAGCGTGACAATTCCCAGGAAGCGCGTCAACCATCAGACGATACTGGTCTTCAACGTGCTCCAATTCATGCGTTACATTTATCGCTTTGGCTACGGAAGAGGTCAAGTTCAACTCAGACAATTGTTTTGTTAACTTACTGGATATCTCCTGCTGCAGGTCGCTCTTTTCCTGGAGCTTTGACGCGCTCACACTGAGAGCTTGAACTGTTTTTCTGAGATTCGACAGTTCTTCGCGGGTTAGTGATAATTCGGCGTTTTTGCGAGCTGCGTTTAAATCTATATGCGACAAAGCACGTTTCATTTCTGACTGCAGCGATTCTTGCTTGTCTTCCAGGGTTTCTACAGCCTGAAGATTTTCTGCTGACAACTCTTCAAGTTTAGTTTCGAAGGTTTTTATGGTACTGGTGACGTTTTCTAGTCGGGCTGATAGTTCTGATTTCAAACTGTCCAGCAGTTGATCAGCAGACTCGGGGTTGGGCTCATAGACCACCCGTTTTTCGACCATAGCACGTTTTCGAGATACGAGTGCAATTTTGTGCTCGAGCTTCGTCAGCCGGTCTTCGATTCTGCGAGAGATGGTTTGTGAACGGGAGAAACTGTGGCGCATTGATCTGTGATGATCGTGTTTGTCTTGATAATGAATTTCATTACGCGCTAATTGATGGTGCTTGTGATCTATTGTCGGCTCCCATTTTAGTGATTTCATCTCAATTTGCACTGTGCTTAACTGTAAAATAATAAAATTTTATTGTTAATTTTATTATTAAGAGAATAAAAAAAATTTTATCTTCGACAAACTTGTGTTTATATGATAAAATGCTTTTTTTTTTTTTTTTTTTTTTTTTTTCAATTTAGTATCATTGGAAAGCACAACCTTAATTTGTGCCTTTTTACAAATTTATATTTTTTTTTAATGATAGATAATTTTTTATATTAAATTTTAAGTTTTAAATAGTTTGTTAGTTCTATAAGTTTTTGTCGGTGACATTTGACCATTAAACTATTGGTAAAATTTATTTAAAAAGTACCTAAACTATATGATACTGAAGTTAATTGACAATTATCAATTTTTATAACAAATCAATTACAATAAAAAGAATTTCCACTTATGATTTGTTTTTTAATTTTCACCCGTGGAATTTTTTTATTAATAATTTTATTGTTATAAGAATGAAAATTAATTTAGCAGATATTTGATCATTTTTGAGAATTTTTGTAACAAATAAATTTTGGAAAAAAATATGAGAAAAAAAATTGACATGTAAATATTTTAAAAAATTAAAAATGCTATTTATTAAAAATAATTTTTTGGAACAAATTTATATGTTAAGAAAAATGTCATGTCAGTTAATTTCAATGACTTCAAACTATATGTATTGTGGTTAAAATTTATAATTTTTGACAAGTTGTAAGTTATTATTATTATTATAAAAAAAATTATTTAATAAAAACTGATAAGTTATTTCTCCATATTTTTAGTCACTGAAGCTTGACGTTAGACAACTTTCCAGATTTAAAATTTTGAAGAAAGACATTTGGAACAATAAACCAATAAATGGATTGACATGCGTAATAAATCTCAGAAGAGAAATGAAGAAGTATGTTGAAACAAGAAATCATAAATAAATATAATACTTTATTATAATGTATGTAATTTAGAATTTATTAAGTTTGTGGTTAAAAAAGTGAAGAACAATAGGTAATAAAAATGAGCGATAACTATTGTTATTATCAATGTATATCATCAATATTCTATTTTCCAACCTTATAAAAAGTCTTTGAAATTTTTTCTAGGTTTCTTTGTAACAGAGCCAAAGTATAGGTATAAAAATATCATCCTGAATGACGTGTCGTTGGTTTAACGTTAAAAAACCCGAGGTTTAATAAAGCAACAAAAAGAGACCAGGTGATAATAAAGAAAATGAGAAAGTAAAAAATAATAAAAAGAAGACACGGGGAGAAGTAAAGGTAATAAAAGAGAACCGATTGGCCAGCGGCTCGTGTGAGGTAACACGCTTAGCCACCCCTGCTGCTGATGCTTTAGCTTTAGCTGGTTCGTTTGTCCCCGGGGCCCTGAATGCGGTCAAGAATATATTAAGAAGTGGGGGATTACCACCTGCTCACCCGCTTGGCATTGGAATTGAACAAAGTGGAGGCGGAAGGCGACCCAAGACTCCAAGAGAGAAAATGAGAGGCCAGATTACCAGTCCACTGTCACGAATAAAGAAGACTAACTGGAGAAAGAGTAAGAGAGCGGGATTGAAGGCTCGGGGGACCAGAATAATGTATAAAATAATATATATATATATATATATATATAAATGTAAGAGTAGAGACGTTGCGGCAGCTGCTGCCCACCAAAACGAGAAACTGAAATTAAGGCCGGCTGCTAGCCGATAGCCTGCTGGCCCGCAGGTGTACATGCGTTTCATGTAAATAAGCATCTACTTGGACTTTGGGCTATCAAATCAACTGGGCATGCAGAACAATTTTAATGTTTTAAGAACAGTAAGTATTGTTTTAAAAATTTATTTAATATTAAGACATTTTTGATGTTGGATTTTCTTTTTTTATTTATGATTGATTTCAGGTAGTTTAGCTGTCAATAAATCGGTCTAATTTTTTAATTTAATTATGTTAAAAGAAAGTTGGAGATATCAGTTCAGTGTAACAGAAGATAATTATTATTATTTGTAAAGATAATTTTAATAAAAGATTGAGAAATCTTGGAATTTTTTGTGAAAATCACACTGACAGATGTTCTACAACATTTATATTTATTTAAAATATTTAAAATCAGTATAAATTTTTTAAATAATGTAATTAATCTGGTACTTTCACTGTTACAAATTAAAGTGCTTCAATAATGGGTTAATTTAAAATAAATTTTCAGTCAAAGTTTAAAACAAATTTCAACTATAAATAAAAATGAGTTAATTAATATTTTAAATGTGGTCAAAAAATGTCTGCATATTTAATTTTTTCATTCATCATAGCAAAATTGTCAAATGTCTTCATGTCATTTAATGTAGCACATATTTAATAATTTTAAAAATTTTAAAACAAATGAATTATGGCAAAAAAAAATAAGAAAAAAAAAAATTGACTTCTAGAAATTTAAAAAAATAAAAAATGCAATTTTTTAAAAATAATTTTTTGGAACAAATCTTTTTGTTGAATAAAATTAAAAAATTGTCAAGTGACAGCTAACTCGAATGTCGTAATGTCTTTGTGAAGATAAATATTATATAATACTGAAATTAACATACCTCTGACAATTTTTAGGTATTTTTTAATAACTAAATTATTACAAGAAATTAAAGCAACCCAAAAACCACCAGATGTCTGCTGATTTCACTCGCATAAAATTAAATGTATTTCAGCGGTTACGTGATAAAAAATTCACCAAAAAAATTACCTGACTAGCAACATCAGCGCAGCTTCTGGTCAACTGTCCAGCGCGTTCTTTGACAGCAGTAATGTCATCACGAACAGATCCTAGAGAAGCTTCAATTCTGGTAAGCCTGCCTCCAAGATCGCGAATCCCGCGACCAACTTGAGCGATGTCGCCGCGCAAAAGTGAAAGCTCGCTTTTAATTAACGCTCGTTGGGCAAGCTCTTCGCTGGCATTCTGGGTGCGTAATACCTCAGCCAATTCACTTTTTAGCTCAGTAACGGCGCTCCCTAACCACTTGATCCTCAGCCGTTCGTTCTTCGCCTCGTTGCCGCTTCCGCCGCGCAATCCGGTCACTTCCTTCCTACAAATGTAAGTGTTATTGTTAATGCTTAATTCAACCATGACATTTCATCCTCTTATATTTTACTTTTTAAAATATTATTACAAAAAAAAAAAATTATTAAAATTAATTTAGCAGATATTTTATTTAGCAAATTTAATTATTAAATAAAATTAAAAAATTATAAAGCTAACTTTAATGTCATAAAAAAATTAAAATCTAAAAGAACCAGAGGTCCGATTTAGTTTTTTAAAAAATAAAATAATATATCAAAAGAATTATTTTTTTTTTTACTAACCTCAGTTGTTTAACTTCATTCCTCAGGACCATCAGCTCAGTGTTTTCTTCAATGGCCTTCTTGAGAGAACTATCAAGAGAATTGTAGTCCTCCTGCCGATGATCCAGAAGTGCATTTACTTGTTCACTGAGCAATTTAACCGCGCTGGCTAACTCTTCGGACGATAATGATGAAGACGATGGGACTGAAGAGTAGACGTTTTCGAAAGCACTCGCGAGTAGGAGAAACACCATCCACTTAAGACACTCCATGATTATAAAAATAATAAAACAGTGTATGAAAAAAAATGTCAATGAGCTTGCGGTAACGATCGTATGAAGCGATGTACTAGAGTAGTGATGCCTCAACGAGGCTTAACTCATTAACTAGACTACTATCCAAGTAGAGTACTTTGCTTAAGAATTATATGAGGTAATGTAATGTATGCCTATGCTTATGCTTATGACACTGGGTTGTGTATTTTTAAAGAGAGACCTTTACTTGCAGACCGTTGGAGCTTAACTGAAGTAATAGACCCAAAGTCCAGGTGCTTATATCAGCATGCCCACACAAAGGGACGGGGTGGGCCACGGGCTGGCTGCTTGCGAGGCAGGTGTTCGCCGCAAACAACATCATGCCATCAGGTATAAAGCCACAATATATCTCCCCTCTCTTTAGTTTTAAACTCATGTATGTACTTGCCGAAATACCACCGTCTCCATTCTACAGAGGTTTATAAATTCACCGGATCATTAGCCATTAGCCCGGAACAAAATCTCCGGATTTATTAAAATATATATATTAATATTAATCTTAATATCAAGATTATTCTTACGGAAAAGTATAACCTTTTTTTTGTATTATTTTATTTTCTTTAGATTTTTTAAATTAGTAAATTAGAGGTAGCTCAGAAGCGATATATTTTTTTTTTTTTTTATTTTATTTTATTTTATCCAGAAAAGACAGCTGCATTTAAATCTGGTGGGTGATTGTGTTGGATGTACAGGTATATATATTTATGTGCGTTGTATGGAGCACGCTCGAGTAGATTCTTTCAGGCTGTTTTATACAGGTATTATGTAGTTGTAGCCACGCGCCAGCCTCCGAGTCATCGTCGCAAAACTCGTGCCTGTAGGCACTAAATCGCCGGATCCTCAGATACGGATGAAGCAAGAGTATGAGTTTTATTTGAGGATGAAAGATTTCGTGTGCCAGCCTTAAGGGATGAGATAATAAATATTAAATACAGCAGATGGTTAGCAGCGACTTTAGACATTGTTTCCAATTCTGTCTACATCCGAAATCTTTTATATAGACCCATCGGGCCATTAATTTAATGAATTTTGCAACTGTGTCCAGTCGGCTTTTAGCTTAATTTCTAGTCTTGGTATTAATCTGTCTATAGAAAACGGAAATTATAATAAAAAGTATATTTATTATGATAATAATAATGATAATAATACTAATGGATTTAGATTTATAAGATAACACTTTTACTTAGTATATAGTTAACTTTATTTTATTTTGTTTAATTAATTACTTTATCCAAACAATTTATATTTTGTTACATACTGTTTGTTCTTTCTACTATTTCAACAGTTAACACAATTGAGGGTGTTTTTTTTTTTCATTTTTTTTTTTGTTTTTTTCATTTTTAATATCACTACGTAATAATTACGTTCGCTTGCAATGATTATTATGTGTGATTGTGTTATAAACTTAAAAAAAACGTGAGGTAATAACTTTTAGTTTAGTTTTAATAATTGTTAATATATTATTTACATGAGATTGTCATTAATCTCGAGGGTTAATGGCACTAAATCGAGATAATTAAATTCGATTATGGATTAACTCAAATTAGGATTAAGAATCAATCCTACTTATTATTAGTTCGTTAGTTTTTAATTAAAGAGATCGCTAATTGCACGATTTAAAATAATTAAATTATTAAATCTAATTGACACGATTAAAATTTGTTTGTTTTTTACAGTTTAAAAATTTAATCTTTAATTTATGTACTTATTAATTAATAAATAAAATATATAATATATTTATATGAATCGATAGGAATTAAGTTTGTGCCGATCCGTAGGTACCGGTTGGTGGACGATAAGCTTTTGGAAGAGTCATTATTTGTATGCTATTAAACGCATATTTTCTTATTCCAATATTTTTCCAGGTATTTTCACGCCTGCAGCCCTCGCTAAAATTCAAAAATTATTTTTGTTATGTTATGATTCAGCTTGATCAATATAATATATAAATATATATTATAAAAGTTAAGTAAAAGTAAAAAAGCAACTCGTGTCGTAAAGATGAAGATAACTTACCTACGCATACAGTCCAATGCCCGAGCGTATTCGTTTTCAGACAGGTGATACTCTGTTGCAAGAATGTTAACTTGCTCGAGGGTAATTGACATCCCAGTTCTGTCTTTGGCACTTTTGCAGCTGGTAAACCTCAGTCCTTTCATACGACGACAAATCTGTGATGACAATTGCAGTATATCTGTATTTTTTGATACCTTTGCATGTACGCTCGTCTTTAAAGCTGACATCATATCTGATAGTAAACTCTGTTTTACAAATGAACGTCCACCGGTCACTGAAAACAAGGACAAAAACACGCCCATTATATTTAATTAACTTAAATAAATTCTATACTATAAATAAGGGGGGGCTTTATTATTTTTACTAATCACGAAATCTGTTTAATTTACATTTAAAAACTTTTTTACTAATAAAATTTTTATTAAGACTATTTTAATTATTTTTCTTTAAAAAATTTTATATTAAAAAAAAAAATAGATAAATTTATATCAATAGTGAAAGCAAATTGATTTATTTGAATAAAAACTTTTGTTTGAAAAATAAATAAAAACATATAAATAGTTTTCTATCAAATTAACAACATTTAATCATTACTAACGAAACTCTAAGATAAACTTTTAATGTAATTACTCTTATATATACGTAAAAAAAAAAAAAAAAAAAAAAAAAAAAATCAAATCATGGATAACTTTTAATTAATTAAGAGGTTTACGTGTACCTATACGTTACAAAGAATACGTGTATCTAAAAAAATATTTTACGGATTTGAAAGTATGTCAGTCATAAGCAGAAATGCAATGCGCAGATATAAGTACACCCTTTGACTAAGTATGTGTTATAAAGCTTATTGTTATGATTACTTAATTACTATTCATACGCATTTTTAAAACTACAAGAGCAAAGATTTTGTTTCTCTCATAATTAAAAAAATACAAAAATTTACAAAAAAAAAAAAAAAATATGACCGTAGAGTTTTAAATTAGGGGTTTAATAAAGCAGCCCTAAAAAATACATTTTTTTTTACAATTATTACACATGAAATTTTTTCAAAAAGAAAATTAATACGCTTCTTTAACTTTATTATTATTTTAAAATCTTAAAGCTAAAAAAGTGAATCAACTTTTACGCTCTTTTAGGTTTAGTACCGCGAAATTTAATAATCACACAACAGCGCGCAACGCGTGAATAAATTCCTAGCATAATATATAAAAAATATAAAAAAAAAATAATTCGATACTCACGTCGTGAAGAATTTGTTTCCATGGGAAGATTAAGTTTCTTAAACCTCAAATAATACTCATTAAGTCTATCAAAGTTGTCAATATTACTTTTTTCCTGTGGTTTAGTGTTACCTAAACTCTCGGCAAGCGTCGCTAGTTCATTAATACCGACGTTGAAGAAAACCGGAGTAATATTGAAGGCAAGAGTTTGCCGGGAAGACTGTGGTAATGGAAGCAGCGAGTAAATACCATCAGGAACTGGAAGTATAACCGTAAGAGCAGCTCTGGAGCCGACTACTCTCGGCATTGGCAATTGCGGATTCACCAGATTCTTATCGTCTATTTTCGAATGAGGTAATCCGCACCTCGTGAGAGTAAAAGTAACTGTGTGAAGATCTTCGACAGCGACAGCCATGTCGCCCCACATGTCAATCTCGTCGCCGTAGTAGCTGAGAAGTGCCTCGAAAGATACCAATGGCCCCAGAGTAGTGAGAATTAAAAGGAAAAGTGGATCCGGGCGTTGGCACCAGAGTTTAGCCATCAACCCAGTGACAAGAGCTGTCAGCGCCTGGCTGAAACAAACGTCACGTCGATACCTGACATTGCAGCTGCGTTGTGCTATCTTGGCGTCTTCTTGAACACGGAACACCGAGTGAGTGAGTCGAGCAGTTTTCAACAGCCCGTCCATCGCTTGTCTGAGTTTCTTCATGCTGGGACGCAATTCGCTAGTCCAGTCAACGATTGACGCAAAGTCCAAACCTTCTGTGAATTTATTTCTCTGGCCGGAATTTTTTATCACCCGGGTCATCGAATCAACCGCCTGACAGACGTCCTTAGCTTTGGCAAACCCAGCAGTCGCTTCGTCTGCACCCGAGGCTTGAGAAGGTAACCGCTGCAATGAATTAGAACTGTCCAGAAGTTTGCTGGACTCCTCGCTCTTCAGGTCGTTCTTCGGCTGGATAGTGACGACGTTGGAAGGGACCCGATTAGCTGGAAGACAAGCTCTCAGCGGTTGAGTACGCGGCATTCCATTTTTATTACGGAGTCTCACCGCTGGACTGCTGCAGCGTCCACAGAGAAATTTAACTTTCGACACCAGACACATAACACTCGCCTCAATATTCAATTGCGTTAAATCCCAGGGCTCTGGTTCGTCTGTCGGCTTGTAATAATTTGCCGAAGGTGAATTGCACATTTTTTTAGTATCAAGAAAACGTTTGCTGAGATCGAGCTCGCCATTAGCACGCCCATCCTCTTCTTCCTCTTCTTCTTCTTCTTCTTCTAGTTCTTCTTTTGGTTCTTTTTCCTCTTCTCTGACAATTTCTTTACCTACTTTTGGAGAACATTCTCTATCAGCATCGTTGCTACGTTCATTAGTATTAATATTATTATCCGGTTCTTCCTCCTCAGTGTCTTTCTCATTATCCAGAGTATTTTTACAGTCATCTTCGACCTCGGGAAATATCACAAAATTTTCATTAGTCGCAATCGCCTCATGATTATTGTAATCGGGATTATTACTTTCGTTATTCCTACACCCAATAGACCCAGCGTACTTGGTACGAGTACTCTCTTTGCTCCACATATCTTGTATACACTCAGGAGTATCTGGCGTAATGAGATCATCAAAATCCGGGCTCTTAAGATCAAAGTTTAGCTGCTGAGTAATGCGTTTAAATGGCGATAACGACTTATTGCAATGTAAACTCAGCGTCAAGCTTTCCTCATTATGATTTTTCGTCTCCTCGGGTAATTTAGCTACTTTATACTCCTCCAAAAATGTCAAGGCCTCTTCAACGAGCCCTGGATCCCAGAGACTCAGCAGTATTCGGGTTTTAGAAATCATATCCTCGCAAATGGGAAGCATACCGCTGGTTTGTTTTTCCTTGGCGAGCTTCATTAACGATCTCATAGCTTCAACAACGTCTCTCCTCAGCTGTTTAATCGCTTGTATTGCATCGTGAGCCATCGTTATTTTTGAGGTGCCCTGGTACAGTTGACTGTGCCTCGTCGGGGACTCTTTCAATGCTTGGACCAGTCTCAACAATCCACCGTTCTTGCTTTTATGAGAGTGAGCGGTAAATGCACCGACACTTACAAAATCATAGAATCCACATTTATTTAAAGTGTCGTTGTGGACCCACATTCGCTGGAGATGAAGATTAAGAGGCGCAAACTCCAAAGTACGATCATTTTTACGGGACGAGCGTTTAAAGTAACTGGCTTTGAATGCTGCTAGATTTTCCTTAGCTTGGGAGTACAGATGCAGGAGATGAAGATGTCGATCGAGTAGCTCTACTTGTTTGGTGTGCCAGGGCTCGCGTAACTCCCCCATACCCGCAACCTCTTGCAGCAACTCCTTCTCCTCTTGAATCCAGATTCCCAGTAGCTGCTGGGGGAATTCAAAGCACAGTTTACTCTCCGCCATAATTTCATGGACGCAAATATCTCCCCCGAGACCAGAGTGGAACCTGTAAGTCTGGACGTAAGGGTTCGCAAAGAGCAGTTTCAACTGTCCCTGATGAGGTAACTTCATTTTGGTGCCTAGCCTCGGGGGTAACGACTGTGAGCGGCGATGACAGTAACCCGGGTTATTTGTACTTGGAATGTTTCTCGACGGAGTGCTTTCAGTGCTATTCCCCTTGTCATCGGCCTCCAAACTCCATACATTTATCGTCAGAAACCCGACTGTCGTGGTCTTCGCGGACTTCAAGGGTATCCTCAGTCTGGGGGTGTCTTGTACCTCGCTGAACGTGACACAAGCACTCCCAATCGGCGTAGCAGTTTGGCTGACCCTCTCGCGGACATCGTAGGCCGTTATCTTCACCTTGGTGTCTGTATTCAACCCATCGCTGGGTCGGAAGCTCACGGTTGTCAAAAAACCTGGATTACTGCTTCTCTCAACGACTTCAGTGCGCGCGTACTTTATCCAGGTTAGAGACTTGGCTACCTGGACGTCTATCTCGAGGACTGGGTTCGGTGGACGCCCGTGTCCGTCACATAGTAAGTTATCGCAGGACAGTGATATCTCGCAAACTGGTATTTCTGCAGGATCAGTTTCTATTCCTCGTTGTAGTCTCAGCATATGGATGTCGGTGTCATTCTTGTGACCTGAAGATGACTCAATTCTCTCCCGTAGTGCCAGAAGTTGGTTTCTCATAAACTCGTAACTCGCCAATTGGAGTGCTTGGAGCCAAGCGTCACGCTCTTCTGATGAATTCGCACCTAACTGCTGGTACAGCCCGCCTTCAAACACTGCAATTATATTTCATTTTAATCAATACACTATTCATGACAATATTCAATAATAGTCGAGTAATTATTTTCAATTATAAAATCACTGATGAAATTATATTTTTTTTTTTTAGATTTTAATTACTAAAAAAAATTTTTATAGACAAATTGATAGTTAATATTGGATAAAATTAAATAACTATTATTATCATAGTTCGTAATTGAATTCCATTAAAAAAAATAATTGTTATTATAATAATAATATTTACCTATACTAAAACCATAAGGTATCTGACTAGTTGGCGGATCAATGCGATAAGAACATTGTTCTAGAATAATAACTCCCATCGGCTCGGACCATTGTTCCTTTGACTTGAAATAAAATAGAAGATTGCCACGTAGACGACACCAACGCTCGAGACTGACTGCGAATAAATATAATATTTAATAAATTCAACTTACTTATAAAATAAAATAAAGTATAATAAACAAATAAATTTATATAAGATATGTATACATATAAATGTAATGTCTTAATCCAAATAATAAATGGCTACAAATATAATTGAATTATAATTCAAACGTCTATTCATTTGCATCAACGAGCATTATGTACATACTGACTTGCATGGAATTATCAATTATTCAATTGACGTCACAATGTGTCATGCTACGTTTAGTAATAAATAATAACCCCTGAATACACCACAATCATTTATAAATAACATGCAACAATGCTTTACGCATGCAAATTAATTTTTATTTATTTATTATTTTACATTTTGTTATTTTTCGTTTAACGTTACCACTCGATATTAATATATATTTAAAATCAATAACTATTACGCGTGAATAATATATATTTTTTTTTTGTCGTGAATAAGCCCTGTACACCTGTGCATTTTACATCAGCATAACAGCGTATTTATAATTGAATCCCAAGATTACCAGAGTGTTAGTGTAGTAAGTATGATTATTAATTATTATCTACGGTGTAGTGAGATTCAGTAAAACGGTGATTAATTAATAGTGTAAGAGCGTGAGAAATGATAAAATTAATAACAGGATTTATCAGCTACTGTTTTTAGTTAATACAGTATTGAGAAACCAGATAAGAGTATTTATAGATACAGATTGGGATGAATGTATAATACAAGTATGTATAATATAATAAGTATGTGTTTGTTATACTATTATATATATATATATATATATATATATATATATTGTTATTTTTTGTAGTGGTTTTGTGTGTCAATATGATAAATGGATGATGCATAAAACAGGCTTAATTATAAAATCAATAGTGTAAATTAGCGGATGAGTGATGTAGGATAATAGGATTAGAAATGAACAAGTAAAGTAAAAGGTGAAAATGGTAAATGCACTCGATGATATATGGTACCTTTGCTTGTGCTGGCTGAAACACAACTGAGGTTTCGAAGAGTCTTATGGGTTTTTCCTTTTTGTCTTTTGCGCTCTAGTTTTTTACCCGTACCTGGAAATTATATTCGAGGTACCGAATGTTTATATTAATTAAAACAAAAATACCACAACCCCGTATTTACAAAATGTAATTATGTAATAGGAGTCAATGTACAATTTATTTTACTATTAATTCATTAGACATGTAAATCAACACTCATTATTGTTTAATACTTATGTTTATGTTTAGTATAAGATTTTATTTTTTGAAATTTTTCTTTTTTAATTTAGTTAAATTTCATGCGGTAATTCGGTTTTATAAAATTAGACTGAATTGATGTATTTTTTTTTTACTTTTAATTAAAATCTATTGAAATTTAGTTTATGCTAGTTGATGATTACACCTAGTCATGCCTGTAAAAAATAAAATTTTAAAAATAATAACATTTATAAGTAAGGTTCTGGTGTAGACTTTTTTTATTTTTGGAAATTTTCCAAATCCGGTCTCAAAAAATTTTATGAAGAAATTTTTTAAATAGAACTTTCTAGTAATTGATTTTGATTAAATTTATAGAAGAAAAAATTTTTAAATTGGACTAAAATACAAAAAAATTAACAAGTTTTATAATATTAGCAAATAAAGTAAAAAAAAAAAATTCTCTAAAAAAACTAATTACAAAAAAATGTATATTAAAAAAAAAAATAAAGTAATGTGATGAATAAAAAAAAAAAGTTGAATAAATATTCTACTCGCTAGAAAATTCCCAAAAATCCTTCTACCTCTAAACAAGAACCTCGTTAATAAACAAGCATTTAAATAAAATAATTAAAACATTAACTATTCTATAATTTTAAAAGTAAATATTTCTAATAGATACAAACTGTTAATTAATAGTTTCATATAACATTCGCAGTTTATATTTAAATAAAAAAAAAAAAAAAAAAAAAAAAAAACGAAATTTGATTCATTTATGAAACATGCGAATTTTAATCAATCAATCACTACAATTAATTTAATATCATCTTGTATCTAGGTCAGAGGAAGTATAAAATATAATCTTTCCCTCAATCAAAAAACGTCACTCACTCTCAGTCCTACGAAAAAATCCCTCCTGGCGTTCTTTAATGCACAAAATTCCCTCTTTTTCGAATTTTTGCGATGGCTGGGTAGCCAGAGTCATCAACTCCTGTTTGTTAAACCTCATTTTCACTTGACCATCTGCAAAAAATTCACAAAAAATTTTAATTACTCATTTAATTTTAAATGTCAAGTCAATGTAAATTCAAACTACAATACTAAAACTATGTTAGCATACCCACGATTTAATAATAGTAATTTATAAAATAAATTTAAACACTTTTAAGGATTTAAAAAACAAAAACATTTCTTGTCATTTGTTTATCATAATACAAAAAGTTTTATTTTTAATTTTTTTTAGATAAATAAATTATAACCTTAAATAAAAACTAAAAAATTTAATGTTAATTACGTAAATTGACAGCTTAAAAAAGTGAACCATGCTGGTAAATAATTTAATTGAGGTGAAACTCACGATTAATGATTTTTAATTAACCCAAGAAGCTCCTGGCACCTTGATCCCCACTGAATTAATTTTAATCATGTTATTTATTAATTAAAAAGTAAGTTAATTAATAAACAACCACCTAACTAATATCTTAGTAATAATAATAATCATTTTCAGTGATAAACTTTAAATAATATAATAATGACGTCATATTATATTATTATAAATATCACTACACTTGACATGTAGGTTTGACACGAAGACACTTCACTCTTGCGCCATTGATCTATCGGCGAAAGCTGGCTCTTTTTTTTCTCTCCTTTTTCTCTATTTCTTGTTTTATGCACGATCATATGTTCAGCTCTTAATTCTCCATTCAATTACCATCCTTGACGGGAAAACAAATAAATAATAATAATTAGTTCTTACCACTCACAATACAATAAACTTAAAACATAAATATAAATAAACCAGCGTAATACAAACGTGAGTACCTAGTGTCTAGTGTCATGTATATTTTATAATAAATCCCACGCACATTGTCGTTTATATATATATTTTTTTTTCAACACACCAGCAGCAATTCAACATTGTACACCAGTAAGTAATTCTAACCTCGAAGACATACCGACAATTACCATGGAAGAATTTCTCCGGGCCTCAAAAAAAGCACTGGTGAGTTATTTTCTACAATTAAGATATTTATTTTCTTGCTCCTGATGCTGGATAATGACATTTGGGTGGAGGTTTAAAGACCGGTTGTAATCACAACAATTAGACTCATTTCTGTCACCTGAGATGTATTTTTTAAATGACAACCTGCGTGCGCATTCAAACTGCGCGCGCATTTTTACAATGCGCGGTAAATTTGAATTCAAGGAAAAAAAAGTAATTATTAAAATGAAGTTAACCGACATTTCAAAATTTTTAGAAATTTTTTATTGAAAAAATTTCAATTAAACAATTAAAAAAAAAAAAATTGTCACATGTAAAAAACTTGAAAAACTACAAGTGCAATTTTTTAGAAATATCTTTTTAGTTGTAATTTAATTAATAAAAAAAATCAAAAATTTTTACACGTCTGCTAAGTTCAGTGTTATAAGTTATTAATTAATTTTATTTGTTATCTTAGGAGGGCTTAGAAAATTTTCGGAAGATAAAAGTGGTTATGGGTAATGAGTCGTGTGATCTCGACTCGGCGGTCTGCGCTCTGGTCCACGGGTTCTGGCACTTTGATAAATTAAAGACGGAACATGTGGATGATGTTGCAGTAATACCATTATTAAACGTAACGAAGCGTATGTTCAAAATAAAAACCGAAGTGGTGTATGTAATGAAGGAAAATAATATTCCCTTGGAATTGTTAACATTTAGGTAAGTCTTACATGTAAAGTATATTTTATTGGGGAGTAAATTAATTATATTTATTGTTGGGTGTTATGTATAATGTATAAACACACATTTTATTATTTGTTGCATCTAAAGGGACGAAATCGATCTGAGGGAGCTGAGTGAACGACAGATGTTGGAATTGAGTCTTGTGGATCACCACACGTTGACCGATTACGATGTGTCATTGGCAGGCTCGGTTGTCGAGGTGATCGATCACAGACCTCAAGATACGAATTGGCCGTGGACAGGTCGCGATATTAATCTAGAAAAGGTCGGCAGCTGTGCCACCCTCGTTGCCAGAAATATATTGGATAAAAATCCAAGACTAGTGGACCAACAGATCTCGAGCTTGTTGAAAGGCAATTATCTGTCCAGTTGATAAAAGCTATTTAATTTCTGCTTTTATATACTTGTTTTTTTTTTACTGAAATAACTATTTTATTCATCGCTCTTTTACTTTTTTATTTTATTAACATTCTCTTTTAAATTAACAGGGCCAATTTTGATAGACACGAGTAATTTTTCCGAGTCAGTGGCACGTGCAACTCAACTGGACATTCAAGTGATGCAAGAGCTGGAAAAAATCAGCACTAATACTGAGCCAGGCGGTGGTAGTAGTGGTAGTACCGGCTGCGGTGATAGTAGTGGTAAATCCACCCCTTTAGAAACACAAACGAATCGTAATAAAATTTATTCAGCTATTTTAAATGCCAAGACTGACATCAGTTGTTTGTCGCCCGAGGATCTTATTCTAAAAGACTTAAAGTTCGTCAACGGAATTCCCATTCCTGGGTTACCAATTCTCGTAGAAGTTAGTATTTCTTTCAATATGTATGTCTATGTGTAATGTGTATGTGTATGTTTTTGTATGATGTAATGTGAAAAAGTATGAGAGCGAATAGGTACAAGTAAGACGACTCGAGAATTTTTCCATTTGAATTTTCACGAGATTAGAGATGCTCTCTTGCACCTTCAGCTCTTCACCTCTAGTCCAATACCAATCCGACGATCCGTGAAGCATTCAATTTTACTTTTAGGAATTCTTGAATTTAAATGCCGCTTTGGAAGCCCTGAATTCGTTTACAAGGGAACGTGAATCCCAGCATCAACACCGTCTCACGGTAATCTTAGGGATGAATTTAAAGGGCCAAGTGGTGAAGCGAGACCTCGGAGTATTCTCTTTCTTACCCAATGATCTGGAAAATAAAGTAAGTGTTTAACTATTTTCTTTATTCTCCTGATTCTCAGTATTCAGATCGTGCACTTGCCAAGTAATTGTTAAGTCATTTAGCATTTAAATTTTATATCTCCGACAAGATACTAACTCTAACTTTTAAATCGAAATCCAGATAGTAAAAGCACTTGAGAGCGTCGACTCGGGGCTGGATCTGTCACCGTCTCTCAGCACATCGAAAGAAAACTGGAGTTTAAAGCTGTACAAACAGGGAAACGTGCGGGCGACACGGAAGCAAATACTACCGATTATACAAAGCGCATCGGCTGGCTGTTAATGTTGACCGTTGTGTCCTCTTCTCCACCCACACTACACACAACAATCGACATTCCACACTCCACACTCGAGACTCGACAATTTGCAACAGCTACCGTGCCACCACACACTAGACTTTAATTTAACTGGCATTAACCGTATACTGTAACAATCTAAACATTAAACTTTCTGTTAAGTTAATTAAAAGGCTTCTTATCTAATTGCTATGCGCCTCGTATTCCTTATCAGCCCGGTACCACTCAAACTGAATTAATATAACGTGAATTTCATTTTCAGCGTCCGGTTTTTATACGTTCGACTTGAGTTGAGAGAACAGAAGAAAAGACCTAGACTAGATACCAAGTTGGTGCGTTAATTTCATTAAATTATCTGTTTGACAAAGAAGAAAGGGGATAGGAGGAATTTAAGAGAACGAACAGCACTATATTTATATATTTATATATTTATATATAAATTGTGTTGAAGCGAGGTGAACAAAAATATAAAGATGAAATGAGAACCGTCTGACCCAACGGGGAGTAAATCCACTGGGCGTATTCAATTCTCGCAATAATTCTCGCATATTCTACGTCGGCACCCCCCGTTGGCTCCAGCTTCTGCTTGAGCTTGTTGCTGTTGCTGTTGTACACAACGTTATATTATTAAGCGTTGAAAGCAAAGCGTAACTCACAAGGCAAGTGAGTGAGAAATAGAGGTTTCATCGCTTAGAGTTGGAGAAGTTACCTCACCTTGTGCTTTGCTGGTGGTGTATGAATGCTGATATGCTGATAGTGATGGTGAAAACAGAAGCTGTTGCCTGTATAGTCTGTAGTCTGTAACAGATGGAATATGGATGGATGAGAGTCACTCGCTCGCATCGTAGATCGTTATGGATCGGTTGTTAAACCGCTACTCGTAACTGAAAACTCGCGTGGGGGTGTTGTTGGGAGATTGCTACCATCAGCTAACAGAAACAGCAACAGCAACAGCAATTGCGGAATGCGGTGAATCATACTGTGAGAGGGTTCGTAGGAGGGCGCTTAGCCTTTATACAAAGATAAAAAAAGAATCTCTCAAGAAAGAAGAAAGAGAAGCGTCAACGCTGCGAGCCAGTATCTATCTTTATTTCTTTCAACGGTGGTGCAGAGTCTCTTTATACTTGTGTATACGCTTACCTCATCGCACATCGTTTGTTCGCATCGCAGAGTCGCAAGCGTGTCAAGGGTTTCACGCTTGTAGCTTATATACTGTACACTGACAAGAGACCACCACCACCACCACCAGCATCAACATCAGCATCAGCATCTCCACACCCGTACCCGGCACGCCACCGAGACTGTACCGAGTGAGGGATTATTTGAGTCACTGCGAAAAATAAAACAAGAGATAGAGGATAGAGTAGTGAGCGGTATAGTATGGCGCTGGGGAGCGTGAAAAAATGGGAAGAGAAAAGAAAAAAGATAAAATAATAATGAAACGAGTCGGAGGAACAAATCGTTGCGATTAATTCGAGCCCGTAGCACATAGGTTGATCCATCAGTCCTGGCCTTTAATTTATGATCTACCTCTTGAATTGTCCTCTCGCTCTTTCTACCACCGCAAGCTTTGTATTATCACCCGTAACAATCCCTCATCGCGTGCCTCATCGCAACCTACCGATCTATATAGACAGATGGGTAGATATGAGTATCTATAGCTGGCTCATCAATTCTACACCAAGGAAATTACCAAGATTTTCCTTTCCTTTCAAGGCCACAGACCAGAATCTTTAACACCTAATATTTAGTACGCTGTTAGAAATTATTAATCGTCTCTTCGGTGCAGTTTAATTGATTTTCAGTTCATCTTTTAAATACTTGTGATGAAAATATGTTACACTAAGTAAAAAATGAATTTTTTGTTAAAAAAAAAACTGTTTTTTGAATAATCAAATGATATTATTCTGCAAGTTGGAATTCAATTTCTAGTTGAAGATTTAAGGTAGAAAAAAATAGTACTTTTTTTTTTAGACAATTGAATTTTTTATACAGATGATCTTAATGAGTTTTATCTGAACTCTTATCTTGAAGACGGAATTTAAATTTGTCATAAAGAAATTTTCGAGTAATCAAATAAAAATATTATTTATCAAAGTTTGAAATCTCAATTCTGAATGAAATATTTAAGATACGCAGAAAAAAAAAAAAAAAAAAAAAAAAACAGCACAAAACTTTTTTCATATAATATGAAATTCTTTAAAAAAATAATCCTTGTCAACTTTATCTTATCTCTTATCTTCTACCTGGAATTTAAATTGAAAGTAAAGAATATAAATTAAAACAATTGAAAAAAGTTTAAAAAATAAAATATTGAAAGTTTGACATCAATAAGTCAATTGTGTGAAATTTGAAGTTCTATTTCCACAGCAGGAGTATCTTGGAGTACTTGTACCTCTACTTTGCCGTCTTGTATTGTTAAATTTTTCCTAGAAGGGTTCAAGGATCCTCATGGTTTGTTAAAGTAACTCGGCTCGCAAAAGCATCTCGTGGTTGACACGCGGCGGCGGAGTATATATGGCAGGTAGGAGATTATTGATAAAGGGCCAGGATAGAGGATGGAGGATGGAGGATAGAGGATGGTGGATGGTGGATGGCGGGGGCATAAAACAATGGGATCTCCGGGGAGAGCGATGATAACCCACCGGCCTCAGGGGGTACCAAACTAGAGTGGTAGTAGTGCCTAGTGGTAGACGCTGTTGGGATGGATTGGTGGATGGTGGTGGTGGTGCTGGATACGAGCGAAGGGAAAAGCATAAACCTAACGGTGGAGGGTGTCCGCAGGTGTTTCCCGGCACTCTCGGGCGCCCAAAGTGCCATGCAGAGTCTATCCTATGCTATGTTGCGTTATATAGGTATCACTTTGCAGGAGTAGAGCGAGTGGAGAAGAGAGACGAGGCTGATACGAGTTGAGAGTAGAGCTAGTAGTGGTGGTGGTGGTGGATCTCGAGTGTAGAGGGGACCATCCTCCACTGCCACCGCCACCGGTGCCGAACAGGGCAGAAGAGAAGGGAGCACAGCACAACAAGGCGATGCTCGATTTTGCGCACTGGCTCCTGTGCTTTATCTACAACCCTGCCGCTGATACCGAGCCAGACAATCCTTCAGAGACTCCTCCGGAGGATGCTGTGCCGGAGACACTAGCATTGTTCCGTCGAGAAGAGGCTGGATCTCTAGATTTCTAGTGCGCGCGAACATAAGCGACCCAAGCTCTGATTAGATTTGTGATAAAAAAAAAAAAAGACTTCAGTCAGTTTGAGTTTTAGTTTTAGTTTTAGTTTTAGTTTTAGTTTCAGTTCCAGTTCCAGTTTTAGTCAGCTTTTTCTGGTGGTTAACACCAGCCCCCAGGCTAAAGTTGTTGTTTATTTTATTTTATTTTATTATCATTATTTATCGAGCAATATCCTGGCGGGCAGGATACGGATGCTGGATGTTGGAATTCAATGGGTCTCAAGTCGTTTTCAACCTCCGGAAAGGATGAGACAACATTTCAGTATATCATTTATAAATGGTAAGTGATATTGATACTTTTAGTTTTTATTTACACATCTTTCTGCTGTAGAGATAAATAAATTATTCATTCGCTAAATGATTTATAAATTGTTTTTTTTTTTTTTTTTTTCATTTCTAATTTATTTATATACTGCAAGGAATAGAGTAGAGCGACTTACTTGCATTTATGTAATTGCATAAAATTTTTATTGGACACATCGGTTGTCGTTAATTTATTTATTCAGTGATCTCGGTGAATGAAATAATGATGCATGACTCGCAGGAGCTATTGACAAACTGGCACTGTCAAGGGATCACATATGTAATATTAATTTACTGTAGGTACAATTCACATGTCAATGTCTCAATTTATCCAACTTTAATCCTTGATGTTACTGCACCTGACATTTTGCCTAACTGTCAATACTCACCAGAGAATCGTTTTACGAATGTTGGAATGAAGAGAGCCCAACAAAAACTATATCAAATAAAATAAAATAAAAACAAAATACAGCGAGAAAAAAAAAAAGAGAGCGAGTAATAACCGTTCAGGTTGAGAGAGATAAAAAAACAATTTGGAAAGTCAAATCCATCGCTGGTGTGCCTGATAAACTTACGGCAGAGCAAGGATCAATATCCATAATTGTAATTGAAAGTAAACATGGTCCACACGTGCAGAAAGGGACCGTTAGCTAAGTAATCGTTCTTTCTTCATTCTTTTATTATTTTTTATCGGTGTTTCTTCTCTCATCTACCATCCAGTTCTTCTTTATTTTTCGGTCGAGTTGTGGAAGAGCGTAAGAGTGCTGCTGAGAGAAAAATAAGCACATCAGGATTCCAGACGCAGGAGCAAGTGAGCCAGCGAAAAAGGCACCCTCTAGCTCTAGACCGTGGTGGACTGGACCGTTTGGTTTGATCGCTCGCCCTTTCAACGTTGAACGTTAATCAATTACTCAATCGGGTCGAGCCCCTGGTTCTGCCCACTGTACCCACTATTGCCATGTGTACCGTGTGTTTGTCAGAGAGAAAACCAAACGAATGAAGAAATGTTTCACGTCGATTATTGTTTGCCAATTTCACCACTTCACCTCCTCTACCTCTTCATCCACATCCACCACATTGGTGATCCTCATCCACTTGCCACCCACCACCCGTTTAAACACACATACGCTCACGCAATTCTATATATCGACATTTTCGACGATTCCGTCTTTCTCCCTTTGGACTGTTAAAATTATCCGGTTTTGGCTCTCAACTCGTTAGCTTCTCTCTTCTCTTCTGTTCTGTTCTCTTCTCTGTACCTCTGCTCATGTCAACGACAATGAAAGAAGGAATTAGCCAGACTCGGGAAGGGAAATTGACAGAATACGCGAAAATACACTTTGAGCGGTGAGCAGGTACACATTAATCCATAATAAATTTTCCACATATATCCCGAGTATCGAGAAATACAGACATATTTATCTGGTGGAATATACATATTCTATCGAGCTGG